TTAAGTATAATTATGGCACTCTTGGTGGGAATGTGTAATTACACTGGTGGCCCTGTGCCATGTCGCACGCTGCACCATGGGCCAGGGGCTGCCAACATCAACTGTTGGCCCCCACCAGTCCCCGCCTTTGCCTGGAAAGCTTGAAGGAGAGGGGTCGAGGCATCAAGGCAGGCCGTCGGGGTCCTACAAAGGAGGGATGCACAGTAGTGTTTCCCAAGCTCCCCTGTCCACCCCACACTGGCTCCAACATGGGCTGGGGGCCCTCGCTCTCTCTAGCCCCAGCAGGGCAGGCTGGCAGCCCCACAGAAAGCCCACTCGCCCCGGGATTGGGATGGTTCTAGGTAGGAGGGGATTCTGATGAGATGGCGTGTGGGGTACATTGAATTCCCCCAAACCCTCAGGGCCCACCCAGCCATGAGGTGTATTCCTTTATTCACATGGTTCAGGAGAAGCCTCAGACCCGAGCTAGAGACCACACACACACACAGCTCAGCCTCCATCCAGGCAGCTGTGGGCCCCTACCTGCCTTTACTGGACTGGGCTCTGGACCCTTCTCTCTTACCTGACAAAGCTGGCCCACCACAAGGCTCCCAGATCTCATGAATTGACTGGTATAGCACCCCTTCCTGGAGGCGGCTGGAGTGAGTCAGGGCCTGCATGAAGTTATGGCGCCACCTGGTGGCTACTCCTGGAATGGGTGGGAATTCTCTCTGAGGTCTTGGGTGGCTTCTTGTCCTCAGGGCCAGCAACCTGGCAAGGTGGCTGAGGCACCCGTGCTGGATACACATAGCCCATGCGATGCGGTGCTCACTGCTGGCCCAGCAATCTGAGGCCCCACCCTAGGCTGGACACCTTTCTGCCGGTAGGAAGATGCTTCTGGAGTTACATCTCACAGACAGGCAGCTTTCCCTCCCAGGGCTAATTAGTTGGTGGAGGCTGGAGCAGGTAGGGGGTTTCCTTCCTCGCTTATTCATCCACATCCTATCCCCTTTCACCCAAGTGCACAGTAGGGCTGCAGATCCCCCGAGCCCAGTCACTGGGCTGATTTGAAGCTCACATTCTCCTCTCCATTGCTAAAGTTGGGGCTTCCTCTGTCTGCTGGAGTCACATGGGGGAGGTCGGTGCAGGGCCACAGGGTAGGGTTCTGGGGTCCCCCTCACAGTCTGTAGACGTCTGTGATACCTGTTGGAGTCCAGGCTGAGCAGTGCCCCAGAGACGCTTATCTGTGTGTGCAGCTTTGGTTTAGGCACTGGAGTTGGGAGAAGCCTGTGCCAGGGTAGTGGGCAGCCTCCAGCCTTCATCCAGGGTCCTGCTCTGTGCTTTAGATCCCCCTCTGTACACGGTTGGCAGCCTGTGTGAGGGATGTGCTGATCCTGTGTGCAGTGGTTGGTACTGAGGTTCTGTTCCTCAACTCCCAGCTGACGGGGCCGGTGCAGGAGTGCGGAAGGCTTGGGAACTTGGTTGCTGTAGGGGACATTGGAGGCAGATCCTGGGGTCCAGCTTCCCTCCTGCTGCTCTGCAGCCATCTCCTAGCCTGTCACATTGACCCTTAACTCAGCTGCCTGTCCCCACGTGGTTCGAGCACGTCAGCATGTTGGTCATCATGCTCAACTGCGTCACCCTGGGCATGTTCCGGCCTTGTGAGGACGTTGAGTGCCGCTCGGAGCGCTGCAGCATCCTGAAGGTGGGGGTCGGGCGGGGGCCTAGAGGCAAGGGCTGGGGCTGGTGGGACCTGGGTTGGCTCACTTGCCATGAATGACCCTAAGGGACACCCCCTACCCGGATGCGGAGAGCACAGGTCCCACTCTCAGGCCTCACTCTCACCAGGCCTTTGACGACTTCATCTTCGCCTTCTTCGCGGTGGAGATGGTCATCAAGATGGTCGCATTGGGGCTATTCGGTCAGAAGTGCTACCTGGGTGACACGTGGAACAGGCTGGACTTCTTCATCGTCATGGCTGGGTACAGCTCCTTGCTGCCCACAGCCCAGCTCTGCGAAGCCATAGCACCCGGAGTGGTACCTTACCTGACCAAACCTGGCTGGGAACCCTGCCTCCTCAGACCCCGCAGGAGGCCTTGGGTCCCCCAGGAAGAGGGAGGGGGCAGGTGTACTCTGGAGGGATCTAGGTGCAGCCTGGTCTGGGAAGTGGCTGGGGTGGGAAGCCAGTACGGCCTTTCCTGGGGATGGACATTTGTCCTGGGACTCCCTGTGCTAGCAGCAGGGTTGGCGGGTGGACATGGTGTCTGGGAGGGTGAGGAGCACCCAGTAGTGACTCAGGGTCCTGCTCCTCCTGTCTCAGGGTCCGGCCTGGCTAGGTGCACAGCTTAGGGACCAGCCCTCCAGCGTGTGGTCACCTGCCCACCACCTGAGCCTCCCTTCTTCTGCCCTCCCCCCAGTATGATGGAGTATTCTCTGGATGGACACAACGTGAGCCTCTCGGCCATCCGGACAGTGCGTGTGCTGCGGCCCCTGCGTGCCATCAACCGCGTGCCCAGTAAGTGACCATCCCATCCCACCCTGGCCTGGGACAGGTCTGCATGTTCTGCCAGCCCTGCTGAGAGCTCTCGAGGGCCCAGTGGGGTACAGGACCAGGAGGCCACACTGCCCATATGGCTTCTGGACACTCTGGCCACAGCGCTGGGGGAAGAGGGGCCGTGGGCCCTGAGCATCTGCTGCTGCTTTTTTGGCAAAGACAGTGCAGCCCTGGACCGAGTTGGGATGTAATGAGCAGGCTGCGAGGTGGGGTCTGGCTCCCCATATTGCTGCTGAGTGACAGGGCCAGTCTGAACCTGCTCATCTGCATATGGGTATTGGGTGACGGAGTGGGCTGTATGGGCCCTGGTGGCGTCATCGTCTGGCCCGTCCCCATGATTCTCACGGGGGAGCTCTACCCCAGGCTCTGGTGCTTCAGGAAGCACGGAGAAGCTTCCAGGAAGTGGTTTGGCTGCTCATTGGGAAGATATCCTATCCTCACACTGGTTATCTTCCCATAGGGAAATTGTTGGGGATTTTTCTGTCTTCAGAGTGTTCAGTGCTGTGGCTGAATTCAGGGGCCATGTGACTCTAAGGTGTGGGTGTACACATATGGGGGGAGTGTGTGTACTACGTAGCTGTGTACAGTCTCCTAGTAGCCTTAGCACCCAAGCCAGGGTTGTTAGGACTTGTCCTGCAGCCTCTATGAGAAGTGACACACCCGCAGGGTGGCCACTCCCTCCCCCTAGGGTGATCAACTTCATCAAAGGACAGGCGGATCAGGGTTGTGCTGTGGACCCCTGGGCTTGCCTTCCACCTTCCATCCTGACTCTACTCTGGGGGGTCAGACAGAGCTCAGATGCTATGTGACCCTGGGCAAGTTACTAAATCTCTCTGAGCCTCAGTTTCCACATGCCTTAGTGTACTTCCACCACACACCCCCTCCCCCCAAGGATGGCTGTGAATATGAAGTGAGGTGACGTGTGTGTGCAGTTCTAGGCTCTGCCTGGCAGACGTGCTACACACTTGGTCTGCTCACCTGGATCTACCTTTCAGAGCAATGAAGTAACAGCACAGCCCCCTTCTACAGATGTTCATTTTTCAAATTTAATGCTCCCGGTGTCCAGAATTGCCACCAGCAGCATGGCCTCCCTTTGGGAATGCCCCCCTTTCCTAAAAGGGCGCCTCCCCTAGACAGTATCATATGTTTTTCATAATGAGCTGCAAGTGGTCATGTTCAGAACTGTGTCTCACTCCGGCTGCCTGGGGTCCACGCTCATGGCTCCTCCGTAGCCTCTCAGCCAGTTATTGTCTGGACAGGGAGGTGCTCACTTTCTCTGTCCCTGATGAATCTTTCCCTCAGCAATTTCTGAAACTTCAGTGCCTCTCCTGACTGTGATTCACCCCATGACCTCAGAGGCTCATTCCATGAGGCCTTGGTGCTGCCCCTCCCTGGCACACTGGCCCAGGGCTCTCTCTGAAGCCTTGGTCCAGCCTTTGCTCATTTCGGGAACTGCGTCTTATTCTCGATGTGGTTTAGGAGTAGGCAGGCAGGCAGGCACAGGTGAGAGAGGGTAGCTAGGACTCTGGTAGCGAGGAGTCTGCTGGCCACTCCCTGGATTAATTTGCATTCACGTGGCCCACAGCACCAACTAACAAGGGCTTCAAAACTGCCTCTAAAGAAGGCACTACCTGCCCTGGGGGTCTCTGTAGCCTCCTGGCCTCCCTCCAGTGCAGCTCTGTTCTCCAGCATGATCACACAGGAATGCAAAGATGCTGCTCCCCCAACCCCATACCAGCTGCAGGACCTCCCAGGCTCCCAAGCAAGCATGAGGGCAGATCAGAGCCCAAGCTGCTGGGGGCCCCAAGGCTGCTACTGCTGTGACAGAGCTGGGCTTCTGGATGCCCAGGCAGTCCCCCTGGGGACCTGGATGGGGCATAGTCCTGGCCATCATTCCAAAGGAGGAGGTTCGTGCCTGCCCTGTGGCCCTCTTGGCCAGCAGCTTGCTCCTCTTGGTGCAGACCTGAACCGGAGGCGTCATCGTTCCTTAGGGCCTGCTGGATGTGTAGGGGCTGGGCGGGCGCACATCTCCCGCAGAGCTGCCCTGCCCGTTTGTGAATGGCGGGAGGGCTTACAGGAGGAGCTGGGGGCTGGGGGCCCAGAGGACAAGCCAAGAGTTCTCTGTGCTGACACGTACCCTGTCACCCGCAGGCATGCGTATCTTGGTCACGCTGCTGCTGGACACCCTGCCCATGCTGGGGAACGTGCTCCTGCTGTGCTTCTTCGTCTTTTTCATCTTCGGCATCGTGGGCGTGCAGCTCTGGGCTGGCCTGCTGCGCAACCGCTGCTTCCTGGACAGTAACTTTGCCAGGTGCCAGGCCCCACCCACC